TTTTTTTTTTTTTTTTGCAGTATTTGGCCAGGGTTGGGTTTGAACCTGCCACCCTTGTTATATGGGGCCGGCGTCCTACTCACTGAGCCATAGGCGCTGCCCATGCCTGGCTATTTTTAAAGGCAGGTTCTCGATCTGGTTCACGCTGGTCTTGAACTTGTGAGCTCAGGCAATCTGTCCACCTTGGCCTTCAGAGTGCTAAGATTACAGGCGTGAACCACTGTGCCCATCCAAAAATAATCCCCTCTTTCTAGCACTGAACATACCAAAAGATGAGAGAAAGGGAAACCTCATTTATTTTATTTCCTGGGAACATAGTACCCAGACTACTAAGATTTCTTCCTTTCTAAGAAACTGAGGCAGCTTTTGCTTTCTGTCCTCTTGGCCAGTGATTACAAATCTTTCTTTGGTTAAGTCCCCTTTTGTTATATACATGTCCTTTCCTGCTTACATGGATTCCTGTGATATGAGAGATTTTATCTGCCAGCCTGCCAAAATGATAATATAATTTTTTCTTTTCCAAATTAACAAAGCCCTTCATAACTGAGTATATACTAAAATCAGTGATCTAAAGGTTAGGGAAATCATGACTTTGAAGTACTTTGAGTATGGGCTAAACATTTTGTTTATTTATTTTTTTGAGACAGACTCTCAAGCTGTCACCCTGGGTAGAGTGCTATGACATCACAGCTCACAGCAACCTCCAACTCCTGGGCTCAAGCAATTCTCTTGCCTCTTCCTCCCAAGTAGCTGGGACTATAGGCACCTGCCACAAGGCCCAGCTGTTTTTTGGTTGCAGCCATCATTGTTGTTTGGAGGGCCCGGGCTGGATTTGAACCCACAAGCTTAGGTGTATGTGGCTGGTGCCTTAGCCGCTTGAACCACAGGCACCATGCCTGGGCTAAACATTTTAAATGAATTATTTAATTTTTAAAGCCGTTTTTATAAGGTAGTTTTTAATCTACATTTTACAGAGAAGGGAACAATATTCTTTTTTTTGAGACAGAGCCTCAAGCTGTCGCCCTGGGTAGAGTGCTGTGGCATCACAGCTCATAGCAACCTCCAACTCTGCGCTCAAGTGATTCTCCTGCCTCCACCTCCCAAGTAGCTAGGACTACAGGTGCCTGCCACAATGCCCAGCTATGTTTTTGGATGGGGGACGGTTGCAGCCATCATTGTAGCTTGGCAGGCCAGGGCTGTCTTCAAACCTGCCAGCTTAGGTGTATGTGGCTGCACCTTTGCCACTTGAGCCACAGGTGCCAAGTCAAATTTTTTTTTTTTTTAATTTTGCTTTCAATTGGCTTTCAGTCTCCTTAGTTTCAAGTTTTTTTTTTTTTAATCTTCTTTTTTTTTTCTTTCTTTATTTTTTATTGAGACAGAGTCTTACTTTGTGGCCCTCAGTAGAGTACTCTGGAGTCATAGCTCACAGCAACCTCTAACTCTTGGGTTTAAGTGATTCTCTTGCCTCAGCCTCCCAAGTAGCTGTTACTACAGGCACCTTACAAAAGCCTGGCTTTTTTCTTTTTTGGTAGAGACAGAGGGGTCTCACTCTGGCTCATGCTGGTCTCAAACCTCTGAGCTCAGGGCAATCCACCCGCCGGCCTCCCAGGGTGGTGGGATTGTAAGCGTGAGCCACCAGGCCCGGCCAGGAACAATATTCTTAAGGTCTCTTAATTGGCAGAATCACATATAAAAAAAGTGTTTGGGCCGGGTGAAGTGGATAACACCTGTAAACCTAGCACTCTGGGAGGCCGAGATGGGTAGATTGCCTGAGCTCAGGAGTTTTTTTTTTTTTTTTTTTGAGGCCAAGCCTCAAGCTATCCCCCTGGGTAGAGTGCCATGGCATCACGCTCACAGCAACCTCCAACTCCTGGGCTCAAGCAAGTCTCCTGCCTCAGCCTCC